GATATCTTAGAGTAGCAGTTGCCAGGTACATGGGCGTGGGTGTGACAGACTCCCAGAATCTCTTCCCCAATTTAAATCGCGTCTCAGCTCCTCTGTGCTCAGTGTAGTGTAAGTGACCAGCGCAGACTTTTATCAAGACAACAATTCAGAGAGACAGAGGAATCTCCCGCCTGCACCAGAGGCCAAGCAGACGACAGTCAGACGTTGGGCAGTCCCCGACACACATGCGCGCCTTTCTGAAGGTTTGGACATCTCTGGCGACATCTTCAACACTTCTGAGGGTTAGCAAGGGCGTGCAGACGCGTCTTTGGCTTTAATTTTGTGAGAGTGTTTTAAAGAATTTTATCAGGTGAGATTATAGGTTACACACTTGTTTTGTAAAGGCTGAGATTATTTTATAGGTTAAACAGTTCGTTTTTTCTACCAGGTGAGATTGTACAGAGGTTTTGCTGTACACAGTAGTGTATATACAAGGTGTTGTTATTGTTGTTGTTGTTGTTGTTGTTGTTGTTGTTGTTGTTGTTGTTTGGGGTGATGGTGGTGGGTGGTGGTCATGTTTTCTTTTTTTTTCTTTTTTTGCTTAAAGAGTACAATCTACAACCTAGCTCTTCATCATATTATTTATTCCTTGACTTTTCCGGATACTTGACTTTGTCAGGAATAGATAACTTTTCGAGCTCCATGCCTCCTTTTAAAAACTATTAGCGAATCACTTTGAGAAGAATTCCTCGCTCACTAACGGTAACCCTTTACTTTCGTTCTAAGGATGAGAATTCTAAATTCAGGAAATGAATTTTTAAAAACCAGGCTCCGTCATGGGCACCTATCTTTTTGCAGGTACATATACTTGCCAACTTGTAACTCTGTAGCTGTCGTAGTGTTTGGGGGAAAGTGACAAAAGTGTTTCCAAGTTCAAATATATAATAGAGTCTCCAACATTGTTCGTCTCCCTTTCTTCGCAGACTTCTCATCAGCACCGTTGTGAACGATGAGGAATTTCCTGCCCTGTACAGCCGTTCTCCTGACCTTTCTGTGTAGCCTCCAGGGGTCAGAGGGCAGGGGTCGACTCGTTGACCCCCCGGCTCGGGCGTCCATGTGGAGGTTTGGGTTCAAAACTCCCGTCAATTATAACGACAACGGCTTGAACTGTGGCGGGCCTGCTGTAAGTGTTTGGGGTTGTTGTTTGTTGTTTTATTGTTGTTTTTTTTAAAAGTTTGGTTTGGTTTTTTAAAATATTTTATTTTGGTATTTTTTAATTTTTTAAATAGTTTTTAGACATCCAATATTTTTTCGAGTTTCTAAACATCTTTACCCCTGGTCCCCCCCCACCCCTCCCCCACCCCCAGCTGATGTGGGGCACAAACCAGGGCCGGTGTGGAGTGTGTGGTGACCCCTACAACGGGGTCAGGGAGAACGAGGCCGGGGGCAAGTACGCCACGGGACTCATCGCACGGACATACACAAGCGGACAGGTAAACACACATATCATCATCATCAATGCCTTTTACGACACCCCTGGCAGGGCAAAGCACCACGTACAAGCTCCTTCCATTTATCTCGGGCCTGGGCCATCCTTTCAAGCCTCACCTTATCTCACTTTATCTCACCTCACCTAATCCCATCTCATCTCACCTTACCTCACCTAATCTCACCCTACCTCATCTCACCTCACCTCGCCTCACCTCCTCTCCCCTAACCTCACCTG